AAGCCAAGGACCAATGTACTAGTTATACTACTGATGTGTACATTTTAAAACTTTAGGTATCCAAGAAACACATTTTAAAACGCAGGCACGGTGCTATAAGCGAGTTGCGATTTTACAATGTGCAAACTTAACACATTAGAAAAACACTAAGGAAAAACTAAAGACAGAAAATATAAAATGCATTTCTTCTCAAAGATAATCGCAACTCCTCGATTGTACGCTTCTCAAGTGGGAATGTGGGGGTTTTAAACACATGCCCAACTTGCAAATAAAACATGTAAAGTCAGCTCCACCAAGAGACTTTGTGAAGAGATCGGCCGATTAGATAGAAGAAGGAACGTGCTATGGCATGTTGAAACAGTCTTTGTACTTGTTGCATACCACTTGGCACTCAATGTCAAAGTGTTTGGTGCACTCATGAAAAACTGTATTGGCGGTGATGCGTATAGGATAAAGAGTAGGATTGCCTTTCAAATATTTGATTAGATTTTGCTTCTGTCCAATGTCCATATGTAGGTGTGTGACTGCTAATCTTGAATCCTTTAGTCCCAAATCACGGATAATGTCAAGAATGTATTTTCTTTGGCTTAAGTAAGTACCATCTGCAGTTCTGAAAATCTCCAAGCTTAAGAAATATGTGTATATTGAAAGTTTGGATTCCTATAATTGACACTATTTCCGTTTGAATGAAAATCATGTTTAATTAAACCGTTCTACATTATGATATTTTACATTGTAAACAGTGAAGATTTCAGATAATCAAGCATAAAGAAGAAGAAGAAAAGAGAATGGAAAGGGAAAAGAGATGCGGCGATTTCATTGAAGGAGAAAATAATGAATTGTACAACCTGAGATTAGGATTTTCTCCCTATTTATACTAAGACTAAAATAACTCTTGGTCAAGTATGAAGGAAGCGTGTTTTACAAATAAAACCTAATACACTTTCTATTTTATCAAATAACAACTTATATATGTACTCTAATACACCCCCCCCGCAAGAGGGACATGGATATCTAACATGTTCATCTTGGATAAATTGTCCTGAAAGGCTTGAACTCCCAAGGGTTTTGTGAGAATGTCAGCCACTTGTGCAGTAGAGGGAATGTGCTGTAAGTTAATAACACCTTTGGACAATTTTTCCCAGATGAGATGGCAATCAATTTCGATGTGTTTAGTCCTCTCATGTTGGATGGGGTTTTTAGCTATAGCAACGGCAAATTTACTATCTGAAAAGAGATTGACAGGAGCTGAATGAGAAATACAGAAATCATTTAAAAGGTATAATAACCATTGGGCTTCACAGGTGGTAGAAGCAAGTGTCTTGTATTTAGCCTCTGCTGAGGATCTGCTTACAGTGGCCTGCTTCTTTGATTTCCAGGAAATAAGAGAAGATCCAATAAAAAATGCATAACCAGTGACACTTTTTCTTGTGTCTATACAACCAGCTCAATCACTGTCTGTAAAACCATTTAATTGTAAAGAAGAGTCTCTTGGATAAAACATACCTTTTCCTGCTGTGCATTTGAGGTATCTTAGAACCCTGTGTGCAGCAGATAAATGTTGTGTAGTGGTTTGGCCATATGCTGACTCAATGCTTGAATGCAGAATGATAAATCAGGTCTACTGATTGTTAGATAAAGTAATCTACCTATCAGTTTTCTATATGATGTTGCATCCACATAGTCAGAATCATTAGAAAACTGAGAGGTTAATTTCAGATTGGAATCCATGGGAGAATTAGCATGTTTACTGCCCAAAAAACCAATTTCTTCCAATATATCTGGGGCATATTTTCTTTGACAAACATTAATGCCTTTTTCAGATTGAGCAACCTCAATACCCAAGATATATTTAAGTTGCCCTAGATCTTTTATGGTAAAACAAGAATCTAGATGGGTTTTAACTATGTTAATTTCAACCATGTCACCTCCAGTAAGGATGATATCACCTACATAAACAAGTAAGGCAGTAAAAGAGTGATTTTGAGATTTAATAAATAGAGAACAATCAGCAGAGGACTGACTATAGCCAAAATTTAAAAGGCAAGTTGTTAACTTTTGAAACCATTGTCTAGAGGCTTGCTTTAAGCCATATAGACTTTTGGTAAGTTTGCAAACTTTATTAGGGTTATCAGTTTTGAAACTAGGAGGTGATAACATATAAATTTCTTCATCTAAATCCCCATGCAAAAAAGCATTATTAACATCAAGTTGATGCAAATTCCAGTTTTTAATAGAAGCAATAGCACGTAAAGTTCTAATGGTGGTAATTTTAGCAACAGGTGAAAAAGTGTCAAAATAATCCACCCCTTCTTCTTGTGTGTAGCCTTTGGCTACAAGCCTGGCTTTATACCTACCTATAGTCCCACCAGAATTGTATTTAATTCTATAGACCCATTTGCAACCGATGCAATTTTTACCTTCAGGTAAAGTGGTAAGAACCCATGTATTGGTTTTCTGTAATGTATTGATTTCTGAATCCATAGCTTCTACCCATAAAGGATTTTGAGAAGCTTGTTTATATGATTTTGGTTCAGTAGTGGATGAGATGGATGCAGTGAAGCATGCATGTTCATAACTTAATCTGGTAGTAGAAACATGAGACTCTATAGGATATAGAGATGTACCAGTTGTGTCTGATTTTGAAGTTTTGAAAACAGAATTAGAGGAGTGAGGTAAGGAGTGTTTATAAGCATTCAGATAAGCTGGGGTTTATTTGATTCTGGTTGATTTTCTTATATGGGTCTTTGTGTTTTGGGATGGAGAAGGGATATTTGGTTGAGAAGAAGTAGTGGTAGTATGTTGAATAGATGATAAAATGGGTGAGTTTACATCAGGTGTAGAATTTTCATCAGATGTAGAATTTGCATCAGGGACAAAGTTTGATGTAGAATCAAAGTCAGGTATAATTTTAGTGTGTTGGATAGGGAAAGTATGGTGTGATGGATTAGAAATAATATGGTCATGAAAGAAAGAATTTGGTGCAGGAAAAAAGTTATCAACTGAGGGTTGATTGGAGTCCTCTTTGAAAGGGAAAACATTTTCATAAAAAGACACATCTTTGGATATTGATATTTTCTTGGTTTCCAAGTTGTAAAGCCTATAACCTTTACAACCAAAGGGATAACCAAGAAGAATACATTTAGATGCTCTTGAATCAAACTTAGTTCTATGTGCATGAAGTGTTGATGCATAGCACGGACACCCTATAACTTTTAAATGGTCATAAGTAGGTGGTTTGTTGTATAAAATTTCAAAGGGGCTTTTGTTATTAAGAATAAGAGAGGGTATCATGTTTATAATATGAGCTGCAGCTAAAATGCAGTCTATCCAAAATGTGAGGGGTAAATGTGCATGAAACATGATTGCTCTTGCTACATTTAACAAGTGTTGGTGTTTTCTCTCAACCCTACCATTCTGTTGGGGGGTTTCAACACAAGAGGTTTGATGTTGTATGCCAAGAGAAGAAAAGAAATCATGCATGACGAACTTTGTGCCATTGTCAGACCTTATGGTTTTAATGGAAGAGTTAAATTGAGTTTTTACAAGATTGTAAAAATGCATCAGCTGTTTTTGAGTATCAGACTTGCAAAGAAGGGGATATGTCCATGTAGTTCTGCTGTAATCATCAACTATAGTCAAGAAAAATTTAAAACCAGAATGAGATTTAACAGAGAAAGGTCCCCATATGTCACAGTGAATAAGCTCAAAACATGAAGATGCAGTAGTATTACTAACAGAAAATGGTAGTCTCTTTTGTCTAGAGAAATGACAAACATCACAAGGAGAACATGAAAGATGTTTACAGTTTTGAGTAACAAGAGAAAGTTCATCTAGTTTATGATATGACAAGTGACCAAGTCTATTATGCCACAGTTGAGAATCAGAAATATTAACATGATCAGATGAGATGCTATTACAGGATGGAATGTTCAAAAAATATAAGCCATTGTTAGCTTCAGCAGAACCAATCACTCTTTTGGTTGGTATATCCTGTAAAATGCAATGAGAAGACAGGAAATTGACTGTGCAATTATTAGTAGAAGTGAGTTTAGAGACAGAGATAAGATTAAAAGTAGAAGATGGAACAAATAAGGCATTGTGCAGCACAAGATTAGGTCCCAAATTAATTTGTCCCACATGGCATGCACATGCTTTTTGTCCATTAGGAAGATTGACAGAAATAGATACAGACAAAGATTGAGAAGTAAATAAAGAATAATCCCATATCATATGATCTGTAGCTCCAGTGTCAAGTATCCAAACAGATTTTGTGAAAGTAGTAGTAAAAGTAGAAGTTACCAATATACCTGAATTGTCAGGGATTGTGTGAGCAGTAGCAACCATGGGAGTGGGATTAGATGTACCAGCTCCCTGTTTGCTATCATAAGACTTTTTGTATTCTAAAAACTCATGAAAGAGAGAGTCAGTAATGGAATTGTTAGAGGTATTATTGACAACATAGTTGGCACTGGCATGGTCAGGGTGTTTTCTAGGACCTCTAGGGCCCTTCCAATGACAAGGATAACCAATGAGTTGGTAACAGTTTTCAACAGGATGATTGTAACCACAGTGAGAACACTTGACTTTTGGTTTATCTTTATAGTTCTGAGGTTTGGTGTATTTGTTTGGAGGGTGAGTTTTGGCAAGCATAGCAATAGGTTCAAAGGGTTTGGTAGTGTTATGTAAGTTCCGTTGGCTTTCTTCCTGAAGAAGGAGAGAATACACTTTGGACAAGGAAGGCAATGGTGAGGACA